AACTCCTAACCCACTGTATATAACCCACATAACCCACTTGCTGCAGACTCTGTATGTACCAAACTCCTAATTTAAGACCAGGCAAACCTTATGTTCACTTATTTTTCACCTCTTGCAATAATACAAAGAATGCAACTCCAGAATTTCTTCATTAAGAGATATTAAGTGACAAAAACTTACAGCACATCTTCCCATGGTTATTCACTTATCCTGTTCAAAAGAATCCAAAACAAGTAATTTACCACAGGTCTGAGTAAGTTTAGTTGTTCAGTCACTGACATATCCTGAAGATGTAGTTCTCTCTTTTCTCTTGACTTTTAGGGGGGGTCTCACTTTTTCGTGCCAATGTTGTTTCCTTTTGCTGTATTTGCTTTGAGAGATATGAGAAAGATACAGACTGAGAAGTGAATCAATAAACTGGTAGTCTGTGATTTATCTTTCTTTCATGACATCACCTTCCTACTTAGAAAGGATTTTATAGAGGTAAGACATTTTCCACACACTTTTTTTCTTACCTACTTCTTGAAGAATTATGGCAATACCATTTTTCTTTCATTTGTTTATATTGCTTGGCCAACCCTTGTTGCCTGCTTGAGAACAAGTTTTTTTTTAAGACTGGCCCAAGGACAGAGTGAAAACAGGATGATATTGAGGACACGGAAGCAAGCTTCTACCAGCCAGACTTACCAGAATTTGAATGGACCTCAGTTGGGATTTTAATTTGCTTTTTTCTTAAGTTTATTTTAATTTCCAGAAATCTGTGGTAATCTTTTTTCACAGTCATATATGCTTCTCTGCAGGGTAACACAGTATGTGCTGCTGGGTATGGCTATTTCTTTCATCTCTCCCCTGAGGGACCATCCAAAATGCCTCTCCTGTCCTTCAGTGAGAACGTAGCTCATTCCTGCACAAGGTACTTGGGGATTTTTAGATATTTTCCTTCAGTGCATGGTAGTGCTAACTATAATTGCAGTGATGAGCAAAAAATGCTTTGCCCCTCCTTTCAGGACTTTTTTTTTTTCCAATTTTGCACCCTTTTAGGGCTTCCTTTCTTGTAAGCAGAGTTCTCCACAGCCGAGCAGAATCAGTATTTGACAGTGATGTGGTTGGGGTTGTTTTTCAGGGCCTGATTGCGAATGGTTTCCTTAGTAGTTTGAATACTTTCCTTTCTTCTTCATTCACAAGCCCAATTTGTTAACTTGCAGCATTTCCCAGTGCTGTTAACAAGCTCCTCCACTTTGCCCCCCTGTTTCAATGATCCTGATGTAGTTTAAGGTGCCACATTTAACACATTTTCTCATCAACCATTTAACAACAAAGCACTGAAGAATGTGCTCATGTGTTGAATTGAAAGCTCATTTTTAAGTATACCGGATGTTTTGAGCAGAAGAGGGTGGCATGAAGGAGAACAGATACACAAGTTATTTCTTACACTCCTCCTTTAACATCTCCTGCAGGCCACCATTAGAGACTTGACACTGGCTTACACAGCCTGGAGTGGCATTTCTTACCTCCAGATGCTTTATATCATAGCAGCATGAACGCTCAACTATTAGAATTTGGCCTCTGATTAAGTAGATAGAAGAGACTAATCACTTTGCAGTCCAACATCACCGAAAGGTGCTGTACGTGTCAGACATTACATGTAACAGTTGTTCCTGTAGCATCCAGGAATGGCTATTCACTAGAGCTTTTGCCTGTACTTCCCTAAAACAGAAACTACAGTAAAAAATGACACTGTATTACAAGTCAGTGGATGGAGTCACCTGAATTTTGAGGTAATCTGGATATTAGTCTGGATTTAAAATCCCTGAGAAGGTCAAACCGAGGGCTGCATTCAGGAACACGTGCATTTGGAAGGTACTCCAAGTTGGCTGAATCCAAGATATAGAAAAGCCTTATCTGTCCAGATTCATGTCAGGCTTATCTGAAGGTGGTGCTGGTTGAAAACTCATGAGCATGGTGGGGATGTTTTGCAGCGAGCACCTGTCAGTGGTACTGCACACTGGTTGTTAGCCCTGACGTGGTTAATTCTGAAAATACTTGAAAAGAAATTTTAAGTATGCTCTCTGGCATGATTAGATGCCTAAAATAAATATTGCTATCAACCAGTTTTTGATTTTGGGTTAAATGATAAAGTCTCATGCAGAGAACTATTACAGATTTAAGATTTTAGATATCAAAATGATGACTAGGAAAATCTGCTCATGAATGCACTGTAAAGAAACAGTTTCCTTTGCTTGCTTTCCTAAAAAGGTATGGGTTGCTGGTGTACCCAGAATATTTGCCAGACAGCCCAAACAGACCTGTTCAGTTCAACAACTTCACAGCTTGGAGCAGCCAAGGTGGAGCACAGGTACGTTTATCCTGACTGTCCTCTGTGATGCTCAGGATCTTTACAAGCATATCACCTCTACACTGACTTCATCTTTTAAGGCTGCAAATGGGCCACAGTTACAGTAAAGTTCTTGTACCTGTATGTCCATGTCCCTCAGCTGGAGGCTCCTATTTTGGTGATAAAGCCAGAAACACAATTTGTGTGAGCTCTTCTTACTGCTTCAGTGCAGAATCAGTGCTACTTTCATCAATAGTTGGTGTCCTCTGTAATCATCTGGCATCTGGCTGCCACTATAATCACAGAATCATAGAATCATAGAATGGTTTGGGTTGGAATCTAATTCCGATCCCCCCTGCCATGGGCAGGGACACCTTCCACTAGATCATGCAACCAAAAAAATCCTCCCAGTGGATCTGAGCTATTCGTAAAGATTGCAGTTGTTAGAGGATCTGTTACCTTCATAGGCTTAATGATTTCCATGGGAATTTTTTCATCCTTGTTAAAAATGTGCGCCTTTTTTTGTTTGAATTTGTCTAGTTGCACTTTCCAACTACTGTAGCTCACTATTACTTAATCTAATTAAAAAACCCACACCACCCTTTATTATCTGATACTTTCTTCCCATGCCGGTGCTTAGAGGCTGTGATCCTCTTAACTCCCTGTCTGATGACCTGAACAAATTGTATGTGTTTCTCTGTAAGGCATGTTTTCTAGTCTAACCCATCCTATGGCTCTTCCTTTGGAGGTGCCCAATTTTTTGCTGTGTTTTTTTCAGACTGGTGCATTCTCTTTCTGGAGAAGCTTATTTGTATGAAAAGAAAGGAAACAAAAGGATGTTTTGCAGTTTTGTTTTTGTGGTTTTCTCTGCCTAACTTGTAATTTCTTTGTATGTTCCTGACCTAGCATACACAAATAGCTAAGTTTATTCTGCTTCTTTCCATGGGCTCCCTCTAGGAACAGCCTTCTTGCTGTTAGGTGGCTGTAAGCAATACCTCTGGTTATTTTCAAGGCATCTTTCTGCTACAGACATTAACTTCTTTACCCTGCTGTTCTTTCCAGTAATAAACCCCAAAATATTTAGAACAGTTTTACTCCGTCTATTACTGATTCTCAGTTCTGATTTTCTTTCATACTGTTCTTTTTTCTTTTAACTTGAAAATAAGTTGGCAGAATGTAAAGATTACTGTATTATTAATTCAAAGCAGAAATAAGAAATTAAGGGGAAAGGCTCAGACACTAAATACACATTCAACACTTTTATGTGTTTTTGCACTTCTCTTCTGTTGTATTGTAAGTAAAGCAGAGTTATAAATCACAATCTTTTTTTTTTAATTATTATTCTTGTTATGCTTTTAACTAATTTAATTATTATTCTGGTTATGCTTTTATATAGATTTTTAGTAGCAGTAACCTTGAACTCCAACATTTCTGGATTTATGCTTGCAAAGACTTTGGCATTGACATCGTAGAAAGCCTGGGAAACACTTCTGTAGCTGATAGCGTTTTAATTGGACACACTGGGCAAAAGGTAAGCACTGCAGGAATTATTTCAATGTCTTGAGTTGCACAGCAACCCTTCAGACAGGAATTTGGAGGAATAAGAAAGCAACCTGAAGAACAGCCCCTGCTCCATGGCAGCTTGGGTAAAGCTTGGATTTTAAACAAATTGCATGTAAAGATAAATACTTAGGCCCAGCTTCAGGATGAGGTTTGGGCACTGATCTGTTTGCTTAGTCCTCTAGCTGTCTTCCACTCCTTAGAAAGATGATGCCTTCAACAGCAGCACCTGCAAGGGACATTGATTTGTGATGAAGCAGAGACACCTGGAGCATCGGTACCTCTCTCCCACCCTGTTGGAACCAGAGATTTTGTTGCTTCTGCTGGCAGCAGCAGCAAAGAAATAGCATTTGATCAGCTGGATCCTGCATCATTTTTCAGAAACTCCATTCATACCAGCTGATGGTAGAGCTGAATAAACATCAGCTGTTGAAAAAACGCAGATTGCACTCTGCAGGAAGATTCAGCATTTTTTCCAAACATCTTTTTATTTCAGTATGGAAGTTTTGAAGATTTTTTAAAAACAAATTTGAAACAAGGTCTCTGATTTTTCTATTTGAATTTGGAACTATTAAGAGATTTTATGTTATAATGCATATTAATGTATATTCTTTATAAAACAACATTCAAAAGTAAAAACAAAATCACACTTCTGTTCAACTTACGAGCTGAAGGATTTTAGTAAGTGTTAATTTTTTCCCTACTCGTGGTTTTTTCCAAGATTGACATGGTCCCAGAAAAGCCCTGGAATTTCACAGAACCTGAATTTTTGAGAGAAATCAGAATTTTTGTTTAAACAAGCTTTTCTAACATAAATTCCTATATACCTTTTGCTGTAATAAACAGACACCATTTAACGATACACAACTGGGTTTAGTTTAGTGATTTGAGAATAATGAGGGGGAACAACAGATTTGATTTCTATCCTAGTTAACACTTTGGTTTCCTCTGCTCTCTCATAGCATCATTGGTCCACCTGGAACACAGAGTGTTACTTTTTTACTTGAGAATGAAAAATGCCATCAAAAAGTAACATTTTTATTTATGCAGTAAATATGATTTTCTTCTGTTATTTCTTTAGGCAGCTGGACAATGTCTTTTGGGTGTACCAGGTTGTTAACAGATTAATAACGTGGATAACAATGGAATTCTAGTTACAACTGGCCACAGCTGCTTGTTCATGATTTTGAGGTCTTTTTTTCCCTGCTCAGTTTTATATTGTTGTTTATGAAATTAATTTTCTCTCTGACTGGCAGAAAAAGAGTTTTAAATTAGTTTTATTTAGAAGCTCACAGAAAGAAACCTCTGTAGTAGGACTTTTGGAAGCGTGTAGCTCAGATAAAATCCTGGCTTCGCCAGTCCAATCTTGCAGCGTCCCAATGACGCAATGAATTTCTCTCAGACACCAAAGGGTGGATGGCTTTGTTTTTGCTTTGCAGGATCCATGGAAGGACTCCATGTTGTACTTGTTAAGAGATTTAGAGGCGCTCAGCTGTGCCTTGTTTCTTGCAGTACCCCCGGGGGGTGATTATCTTTGATTATCTCATGATAAGAGCCTCCTTGTCATAATTTACATCTTAATTTATGTAATTCTCCCTTTAATAATGATGTCTCTTTAATATCAATTAAAACTTTATGACATTAATTTAATGGGAACCTTGGATATTCCTCTCTGCTAGCCCTTCCAGTTTTTGAAAGAAGTGCTTTAAAACAAGATTGTTTTCTGGAAATATAAGGGCATTTAAAAATTGGGACTTTGGTCAATTAAAACGTTAGTGGCAGGGCTAAATCCAGGACCCGTAAAAGCCAAGAGAAAGACTTTTGTTAGCTTCCTAGACATTCAGCAAGCCTCTTCCATGTTTTCATAAAGCAACTCATTGTCCTTGTGGAGCCATTTGAGGAGAAGCATTTCTTCCTGAAAAAGCAGGAAGTCTGAGACAGGTGACACACACTAGGGAGGAATTATTGTCTCACACCCTTCTTCTATTTGCTATTTATTTAAATAAAATAAATTAACTAAAAAAAAAAAGATAGAAAGGGGGGTGGGATGGAAGAACAGGCAAGTGTAAGCAAAAAACCAATAGAGTCTTTATGACCGATTTGTTACCAGAAGCCAGGGATTTCTGCTTAGCAGTGACTTGGAAGAAGATGGCCCAAGGACCAGGACCATCACCACAGATGTTTTGGCCTCAGATTAAAAAAGGTGATGGAGCTACTGTCTCTTAATGCGACTGAAGATAGCATCATCTCACTAAAGTAATAATCTATTCATAAAAGTCCATTTCATTCCACATTTTCAATTAAAGAGGATTTTTCACAGAGGGTGGATTTCTTGATTGATTCTCTACTACGGCTTTTGAGAGTTGTTCTAAACAGTATCACACATTCCTGCCAGCCCTTCCTCCTCCAGGCTACCCACTAGCTCTGAGTACGTCCTTCTTCCCAGCCTATCTCCAAGATAAATTAGCAGAGATGTACACTTCCCCTGTGTCATGGCCTATAATCACCGCAAAATTTAGTTTGTCCATTGTGTTTCCCATTACTTATGGGTTTTGCTCTTCCTTTCCACTTCTTGTTGCTCTGAGGGACCCTGAAGTCAACTAGAGCTTTGAAAAGAGCCTAGCCTAAATAATTCCCCCCATCCCCAGTCACACAATTCAAGGGCTTTGAATCTCAGCGGTCAGGTTTTTCTTAGAACAGAAATTAGAATGATTAGCTTTGTAAAGTAGGGAAATTTCCTGCCTGCTGGACAAGACAAGGTAAAGTATAAGGGACTGTAAACAAGTCTGCTTACTGTGCCTTCCAGGTGGATTCTTTCTTCCCAGGGAATGTGCAATTTCCCTTCCTTTCAAATGTCCAACCTTAACTACTACACAACAACCTGGACAAAGCAAACAGGGCAATTACTGCCCTGAATGTAATACTATCACATACTGCAAATGGTGAATTAAACAGAGGTTACTTGTCAGAATGTGCAAAGCAATAGCTTAGATCTGTCCTTCAAACAGTATACGTTGCCCCACAACCATGGGCTTGAGTGCAATCACGTCCTTGTGTCCCAGCTGCTGCATCCTGGACTCATTAGACTTGGAGATGCACATGGTGATATGTTTCCTAGCACTCTTCATTTCTTCATTGCAGGATAGGACCTGTATGTCAGCAGGACTAAAAACTCCCAAAAGATACCAGCTATTCATCTCCAACACAGCTTTCAGGAACTTTCATGTGAACACTTGCACAGCGATCAGGACTTGTTCTGGCTGTTACCAAGGGCAAGGTGAGTCTGACTCACACTTATTTAGCAGGGTTTCCACAGTCCCTGGCTTCCTCCCGTTTCGGATTCAGATGGTTAGAAGTTCATAGTTTCCACAGACAACCATGGATAGATATTTCAGCTGAATCCCACAAAAAGTATAATGATGAAGAGTACTGGCCCAGTTTTCCTTCTGCAATCTTGTCACTATGTTTGCTATAGGTGATTTATCAAGAGCTAGGTTTTGAGGTATTTGCATACCTGCTCTCCTTAGGTATTAATAGTTCACTGTATTAATAGTTTTCAGAAGCGTCACTCTCTATGTTTCACTTCCCCAACTGGGACAGATGGATAATAGCTCTTCCCCATTCACAGGGAGGTGGGGCATGAGATGGTGATATGTAGATGCGAGATAAATGCTGTGCTTGGTGTGCAGCTCAGATGAGCTGAGAAAGTCCCTGCGCTGGTATTGTAGAGGTATGCGTAACAACCAGTCCTCAACAATACTCATCCTCTTTAGTGTGTGCGTTTTGCTGACGTTGCTGGTGGGCTGAACCAGACCCTTTAGCTGCTCTGCTCTGCACGGGCTGAGGTTGCAGGTTCTCTCCAATCTCCCTTAGAAATAGCTTCATCACTTAGTTGAAGCCATGTATCGCACATATTTTTAAGACAAAGACAGCCTTATTTTTGCACTGATTTTTTTTTTTTTTTCTCAGTGGAAGGGGTTTTTATACACTGACTTGTTTCTGCTTCTTCATTTTGGGAGGTAAAATTTCAAGAGTGATGATTCCTTTAATAGCGATGACACAACATTGCAGAATTTCACCAAACTCCTACCTCAGGCCAACCTAAACCTTAGGTGAATTTGCCTAAGATAATGTGTAAACTAAGCACCCTTTTGAGCTTTGAAGAGGTAGCCAAAGGCTCTTTGAAGAATGTTCCAACTGCAATTACATCTTAAATATATTTATATATAAATGAATACTGCCCTACAATAACATAACAAAGAAAAAGACTTCAGGAGGTGAGATCAAAGGACAGGAGGAATAGTAAAATCTAACTCAGAGAGGCTGCAACTGAGAATAGGATAGTCAAATAGTAACCAATGTGGTGCATGAACACTCATGCCAAAGCTGACTTGTTATGGTCCATGGGGCAACGTTTTTCTGACATTTCTGGAAATATTAATGTGTTCAAAAACTTCCTGTGCTTTAGTCTGCATGAATATTCCTGCTTTTTGTAGCTATCTGTCTGTGTTACAGTAATGAAAAGATCCTCCAGCTATACTTTTCAGCCAAGGGTTTATTGTGCCAGGTGTTGTACATATGCACACAAGTATATTTACACATATATAAACACTCCTTATATCTAAAGAATTTATCTTATAAACAAGGCAGAAAGGATCTATAAGAATTACTGTTTTGGGGACTGTAACTTTTGGCAGTGGGACTTGTGAAGAAGCATTTGGAGTCACTGAGAAGATGCTGGTAGGACCAGGAGCAGCACCTGGGTCAGAGGAGTCTGTAACCACAAGTCCTGTCACAACAGGGCGCTGGACAGGTTGGACCTGGCCATAGCACGGCAATGGCAATTCCTACAACCATCTCTATTTATCTATTTATTTTCCTGAATCTCCCCTTCTTGTTGACTCAACAGACATTTTTCCAAAGTGAAGGTGAAATGAAGCTAGTCTCTTTTTCTCCCGAGATGTCTTCAGGCCTATTGAAGTGGGCATGGTGGTGTTGGGTTGACAGTTGGATTCGATGATCTTAGAGGTCTTTTCCAACCTTAATGATGCTATGATTCTGTGATTCTATTACTTGAAGAGATCAGTCTCTGTTTCTGAAATGCTGCTTGTTCCCCTCAGGTGGGTTTACTGTGAGAGCTGAACGTCTGACCTTCATCAACTCACCTTTCCAAGTGTCCTTCCCCTTTCCTCACTCTGCCATCCTTGAGGATCTCGACGGCTCTGTCACGGGGCAGAAAGGAAGTCTTCTCCTCCCTTCCACAGATATCCTTGCGGTATCTTGCACAGCCAGGGCCAACTTCAGTCAAGCTTCTGGTGGCAGTGTTTGTGGCAGCGACCTTGTTTTCCACCGTATGTCTCTTCATTTGTAAGTAACCATTCCACTTCTGAAAAATCGGCGCGGATGTTGCTTGTTATGTTCTATATTGAGAGAGCTGCTGGGTCTGGACACAGTCCCAAGACTCCTGCCTCTCTGCTGGGTCCTAAACTAGGTCAAAAGCCTGAGCACTGGCTTACATTAGTCCGTGTTGTTGTCCATGTGGTCTCTGGCACTGGTTTTGTTCTGGCTACTTGTTCTGGCCCAGATAGTTCTCAGGCATGGTTTAAGAGATAGCAGAGGGACCTTTCCCAGCCGGCAATTTGGATGCAGTCATCATGTTTCTGGAAAGGAGCACATAGCTGTATGGACAGCTATGAGAATTATGCACAGCAGTTGGCCTCCAGGCCAGAGTACAGTCTTTGGGGTTTTTTTATTTGCTAATTTAGATATGGCTTGCCCAAGTTCAATTTTTTTCTGATGTTCTCAGCAAGCTGCTTATCTTTCTTACCTTAGTATCCTACCTATAGTCTTGATTCCTATCCAGAGGCTATTCTGGCAGTGTTAAGTGGACTTTTAAGTGGGTGCTGTGGTGTATTGCTATTTTGTCACTCTTCAAATTACCAGGGAGATATAAACTGGCCTTTGTAGAAATAAGAATCCAGCTCAAGATGGGCACTGATGTTCAAAGTGAGATCGATGACCAAGCTGCAGACAGTCAGAGATTTAGTGGGTGAATTGCAAACTTTGCCAAGGTTTTCTGAATGCGGACCTATAAAACACTTCCAGATCATGAAAGAAACACCTCAGTTGATAAAAAGATGCAGTCTTTAAAAAAAAAAAAAGAGTTTTGACTTTAATTAGATTTTAAGTCAATACTGAGAGTGTTTCCTTTTATGCTCATTGTGAGAGATTTCCCCAAATGCTCCCAAAGAATACGTGGTCATGAATAGGATAGTTTTTCATGTCTTAGGCAGAAAAACTTTGCCATCTGATTTCATTGCTATGTTAGTTTCATAAACTATCAGATTCATGTATTATGTTTTCTACTAAAACTGGATTCAACATTTTATGATTTCGTGGGCTCAGCTCTCATGCCATGAGCAGCCATATTGCATAGAAGATATAATAAGTTCATGACGTATTTAATTAAAAGAAAACTTTCCAGTAGATAAGTTTCTGCCACTCTGTTGGAACCATGCCTTTCTTACCCACCTCATCAGGACTTTCTGGTCTTTCTTTTTGCTATTCTTTTCTTGCTACGGGGTGAATTTAGTCAATTCAGATCATCAAACCTTATTAAGACTGACCCAGGCTCACAACCTAAGCAACCTGTTTCAGTCTAGACAGTTATGGTTTCCCATCAACACGATGGGATCAGACAATGGTGCAAGGGAGATATGAGACTCAAGAATAAACTTTTGTTATTGTGATTGGCAGAATTTTTTGGCAACTAGGTAATTGCTTTTCCAGGGTTAAGATGCCAGTTTTCACTTGATTTCAATGGGGATTTGTGATAATACCACTGTTTATAGATGGAAATGAAAACCTATTTGTTTGTTGTCTTAATCATGATAGAGGGACCCAAAGCATAAATGAACAAATTACTTTATGGGTGAAAGGGACTACAGTATATCTGTGATGTAGCTCTCAGAGCTTATTCGGCAATCAAAAATTACTGGGAAGATCATAGAATCATTTCAGTTGGAAAGGACTTTTAAGATCATTGAGTCCAACCACAAACCTAACACTGCCAAGTCCAGCACTAAACCATGTCCCTAAGCACCACGTCTACACGTCTTTTAAATACCTCCAGGGATGGTGACTCAACCACTTCCCTGGGCAGCCTGGCCCAATGTTTGATAACCCTTTTGGTGAAGAAATTTTTCCTCACGTCCAATCTAAACCTCCCCTGGTGCAACTTGAGGCCATTTCCTCTCGTCCTATCGCTTGTTCCTTGGGAGAAGAGACCGACCCCCACCTTGCTACAACCTCCTGTCAGGTAGTTGTAGAGACCGATGAGGTGGGTGAGCCAAATTTGGTGGTGAGCCAGAAATTCAAGATGAGTGAATTCAAATTAGGTTGAAGACATATAAACTTAGGTATTGTCCTGCAAAACATGTGTAGTCACCATGTAGACACTGGCAATGTGTCCCATTGCAGCTGATGGAAACCTGTGTCCTTGATTCAATTGTCCATGGAGAGATATCTAGTGCCACTTAAAATGCCCTATGATATTTCCCTTGGCTTGTCACTCTGTGGCAGAAGGGCAAGGATCTCCTGGAGACACTGTCAGATCTGTCATCTCACACCGAAGTTTTTGATTGCTTGGGACATTTTAAGAAGCACTAGATGCCTCTGTTTCTTTGATCTTTCTCTTTGGGGCTGGTCAGCTGAACTGTCCTTTGGGCTTCTACTGACTGTACTTACTATGATGCTAGTGACTGTAATGGTCACCCAATGCATATTTAAATATCAGTAGGCCTTTAGGTGTCTCAATCCTAAACTGAATGATGATTTTCCTCTACCTGTCTTCTACATTGGTTTTAGGGAAAATAAGACTTGTGCAAGCACAGGAAGTGTTTGTGCATCTGTGCATGAACATATATACGTAAGTGCAATCTGTCTCTCTTTTTGACTTATTTTTCACCCCATTCCAGTTTCAAGTGTTTGCACTGTTAAAGGCTCATAATGGTCCCTGGCATGGTTTCGGCCCAGGACAGCTCTCCCACACACAAGCAATTCGTGGGTAAAATTTAGAGCTCAACACAACCCAAGGAACCGTTTCCAGTAGGGCAATTTAGATATCCCCATGTTGTTTTGGAGTCTGAAGGTGTTTGATTGTGTGGATATGGCCATGCAATGCCAGCTAGCCTCCAGGCCAGAGGGCAGGCCACAGCACCAGTTAGCTTATCAGAAGACGTGTAGCCACAGGTCTGTGTCTGAGTGTTTACACACTGTATGGGTGGGTGAGACACGTTCTGTTGGAGAAGATCTGTTTATCTGTGTGGATATAACCACATCTTATGATGTAGGGTACATGTCCCCCTTGCTGGTATCTTGTCACACTCCCAGTAAATCACGTCTACTATAAGTTTGCAACAGAATGTCACTTGATTTTTTTTTTTTTTTAATTTCTGGACAGATAGAAAATGGTTTTGGAGAGTTCAGCCTCCTACTGGCACTGCCTCCTATCCCACCTTTGTAATAACCCACTCCTGGGATACAACAAGGTCTTTCCCATCGGCTTTGATGGTCATACAGCTCCCAAGTGCTGTCCCAGCTCACTTCTGCTGTTGCACATGCCTCCCCAAGCTGGACTTGTTCCTGTCTTTGAGCAGCTGGCAGCTAAAGGGATCCAGTGGAGAAATACTGCTCAGCCAAGTACTACCACCAGTTCTGTTACCCAGGGACGACACTTGTGAATTCCTGGCATAAAAAGAAAGGGAGTAGAAAAGGCTTTTAGTGATCTAAACACCAGTCCTGTTTTTCTTCCTATGCTCATCTTCCCTTCCCAGTGCCCTGCTCAACATTTCACTTCATTTTTGAAGTGCAAGCCTGAACCATTACCCATTTTTTGCTGTTTCAGGTTAGTAGTACACAGGCAGAAATCCTGACGTGCTCTGTCAGAGGGCTGTTAATAATTCACATCTGTCTTATAATTCATGTTTTAGAAGAAAGAAGAAAAAAACCCCAAACATACCCAAATAGGAAAAAAAAAAAAAATCACATGTTCCATCGAAGGGGAAAACTATGAGACTTTCAGCTACCTACAGGCTTTGCATGTGATTACTGTTTCTCATAATGAAAACAAAAGTCTGCAATAAATTAAGAGTTGGGAATCATTCTGATTTAACGAGAAGGGTACTGGGTAGAAGACAAAATACAGCTGTGCCAGATGTCTTTCTGGACCAGCTGACCATGAAGTCTTAGGCAAATCAGTTCCCTTTCTAGTCTGTGTTTACCTTGATTATATGGACTAACAGCTCTTTGGATCGATGCCGTGCAGTTGGATGGAGCTTCTTACAACATTGCCTGTAGTTTGATTTGAGTCCTTTTGGATGCTGCCACAATGTAAATGTTAATAGTTCACGATAGCTAATGTATTCAATACACCTCATTCCTCTTTGCATGAAAAGGTGTTAAGGAGTAAGTACAAATAGGAGCTCATCTGCACCATTGCTGTTTAACTCTGGAAAAGTTTGAGCCCTGACCTAAACTTTGTCTTCTCCAGTAAATTGCTTAAGGGTTTTAGATTAGTCATATCAATGACTGGGCACTTCTCAATCAACCTTTTCTTTCAAGCAAGTCGTCTTTCGTTTCCTTCTTTATTCTTCATTTACATGAGCTGGGAGCCAACTTACATCAAAGATACTTGGCATTCTGAGTAGCAGAGGCCAGCTGTTAGCCTGTCCTCTTGAGAACTATGTACTTAACAGAGTAACCCGAGAGACCGAGAGCATCCTCTTGTGCTGCTTCCAGACCCTCTCTACTGAGTAGCTCCTACCAGCCAAATCACCATCATGTTAAGTTGAAAGACTGTCAGAATGCAGCCAAGTAAAAGCAGTGAGTCAGGGAGGCTTCAGTCACACGGACAGCGCTCCAAAATGGACCTGGTAAAGGAACAGGTTGGGGAATGAAAGTAGCTGGAGGGGATTAAGGATGAAAGTCAATTAATAAAATATCCACAGCATGACCGGAGGATAAGGGGGTGGGGGGAGAAGAAGAAAGGGTGAATTTTGTCCAGATGTATTTGAAGAGTGTTTGCAATAAAAAGGGAATAGTTTAGGATTAATACAACAAAACATGACTAGGAGCAATTGGCAGAGGTTGAGCAGAGAGAAGAAAGATAGGTGGGTGACAGGAAGAATTTCCTAACGGTACAGTCTCTTGGATCCATCTAATCTCAGTAAAAAGATGAAAGTACTGTTGTTTGGCTTTCTTCAGTTTCTGATGAGCAAAAAATTAAAAATTGCTCTGGAAGAAATCCTTCTGTTGTGCTCCACCAGGCCCTGGAGTATGCGACCAGATTTGCAACTTGCTAGTTCCTA